TGACATTACCATGCTACATTTGAATTGTGCTAGTATGCAAATTTCACATTGTGTCCTACATTTATTGGGAATCAACATGTATAGAACAGACCTAGAAAGTTGCATGGATACTCACAATCCTCCTATATAGAAAAGATGCTAAGCCCTTGTTTGAGTCACATTATTTTAATAATAATACATATTTGAATAGTATATTGACGGAAAATATGTGGTTAAAAAATAGGAAAAAATTTTGGATTTGCGGATAATATTATTTTATTGAAGAATGTGAGGTTGAAATATTAAATCACTGTTTAAGAATGCTTTTTTTTTTTTTTTTTTTGGTGAAAGAATGTTGATCAAACAGGGCCTAAAGATGTTTAGCATGAATAATACAAAGACATAATTATATCCTACAAGTCATTGGATTCATCCCTCCAAGTGAATGTGCCCGAAAACATTTATTTTGAGAGAGAGTATATGAATAAGATACTTTATGCATCAGTAATAGTAGGCCTGTGCATCGTGTGTTAATCGGAATATATTAATATTGGGAACCATCCATGGCACTTTTGTTATTCGTAAAGAAAAAAATTGGGCCTATATAATTTTGGAACCAGACTCGAACCGTTGGTTTCAATTCGGGTTCGATTATATATATATATATATATATATATATATATATATATATAGATTTCAACACTTTCTTAATCCATTACAAATATGTCTTCAAATAGCATCAATATCTAGCAAAATATTCAAACAAATAGCATCGAATATCTAGTAGATCATAAACATCAAATTACATACCCAATGAATAAATTATAGATAGTGAAATGGTGGTGGAATAGTACCTCTTAATCTACCTTGTGGTCGGTGGCTTTCCTGCTACTCCGGTGAACGTGTATAATCTAAAAAGTGATGGCGGGGCTTTCTCCCCCATTTTACATTCGTCGTGAGAATCAGTATGTGCGTCAGGAGAAATAAGGATGGAATTCAGATAGCTAGGAAATGTCAAAAAAAATCCCCTTACCTGTGTCGTCTTCGGCGGTATTTATAGGTACTAGAAGCCGGGTGAGTGTCGGGCGATCGTAGTGCCACGTGTCCCATGTTGGCTTCCCCACTAACCCACGTTCTCATGGGGGATCTCTGAATTCCCACCTGAAGGTTGTGCCCATAATCACCGTCATGGAGTTTTGTCAATTTACCTGAAATTTTGACTAAGTGTTGGGGTGGCCACATAAGTCACTTCCGGAGAGTAGATGGCCTCGCGTAAAGGTAGAGCGCCTCCGGGGGGTCGACGATCTCACGTAGAGGTAGAGCGCCCCAGGAGGTCAATGAGATAGTCTCACGTCGAGGTAGAGCACTCCCGGGAGGTCGATGGCCTCACGTGAAGGCAGAGCGCCCCCGGAGGGTCGACAGCTTCATGTCGACATGTAGTGACCCTCGGGAGGTTGATGGGCACGCATAGAGGTAGAGAGCCCATGGGGGGTCGATGGCCTCATGTAGAGGTAGAGCGCCCCCGTGGGGTTGATGGCCTCGCATAGAGCATAGAGGTAGAGCCCCTCAGGGGGTCGATGGCCTTGCGTAGAGGTAGAGCACCCCACCAGGGGTCGATAGCCACACGTAGAGGTAGAGAGCCCATGGGGGGTCGATGGCCTCATGTAGAGGTAGAGCGCCCCCGTGGGGTTGATGGCCTCGCATAGAGCATAGAGGTAGAGCCCCTCAGGGGGTCGATGGCCTTGCGTAGAGGTAGAGCACCCCACCAGGGGTCGATAGCCACACGTAGAGGTAGAGAGCCCATGGGGGGTCGATGACCTCGCGTAGAGGTAAAGCGCCTTTGGAGGGTCGATGGCCTCACGTAGAAGTAGATCCCCCCGGGGTCGATGGCCACTCGTAGAGGTAGAGTGCCCCGGGAGAGTCGATGGCCTCATGTAGAGGTAAAGCGCCCCCCGGGAGGTCGATGGGCACGCATAGAAGTAGACAGCCCATGGGGGGTCGATGGCCTCTCGTAGAGGTAGAGTGCCCCCCGGGGGGTCGATAGCCACACGTAGAGGTAGAGAGCCCATGGGGGATCGATGGCATCGCGTAAAGATAGAGCCCCCCCAGGGGTCGATGGCCTCGCATAGAGGTAGCGCGCCCCCCGGGGGTCAATGGTCTTCCGTCAGTATGTAATATCTTACCTTGCTCATTATCATAGGTGGTTGTCTATGACATCCAATATTAGATAGCTACTTCGATTTTAAGAACGGCTTCAGTGTTTTGGATTTTTGATTTTATGAACCTTTTTTTTATTTCAGAATCCAACACGAAAGATGTAATTGGGTAAGAGTAATAATCTCAATAATATAAAATAACACACTAATCTGTAACGAGCTATTGATTTAATTGCTAAATCGTAGCCTAACGTCTACAATTGAACTTCTTTATTAAAGGAGAAGAGATTTCAAATGAAGGCCCGAAAAGCTTAATCAAATAATCTATTCATTTTTCAGTCAAAAATAGTGTTTCTTCTTCTTGGACATTACATAATCCAATATCAACATAATCTTACAGTGAAATCAAGGCACAAAAATGATTGACTTGATCTAGTGTTTTGCTGGAGTAAGCCAATAAGTCGCTTGAGTCAGTGACACGAGTAATTAAAAATATAAATTACTGTAAATATTTTACATTTACAAGCACAATCATGATGATTTATTAAAACAAACTTTAAATGGAGGTCACTTTAAATTGTCACTAGTGCAAGAAAGAACCTCTCATGAGGAAGATATATGGCCCAAATTGATTAACAATAAGGTAACAAGATTTAAGAAATGAAACCTTTAAAGTCAGAAAAGATAATGCACATTAAATCTATCCATTTCTTTCCTTTTTTTTGTCCCACTATAACTGTTTCGTGGAAAGAAGAAAGCATTAAATTAGCAATGGAGAAAGTAGACTTTAGGCAAAGTTGATGTCTTTTGGATTGCATAGGCAAGTGGCTTAATTTTGTTTTTGTCTTTACATTACTCTTTATGGAAAAATTATTTTTAAATTTGATGAACACAAGAAGCAAACGAATGGATTTTGTTGAGATAACAAGTGCTTTCACTATTATTTTTTTCGGTACTTCTTTTTTGATGAAAGTTTATTTAACGTTCAATTTCATTTCAATCAACAATTTCTGTTTACTTCTCTTTATGCCGGTATTCCCCATTTAAAGAATCCAGTTCTATATTTGAAAGTTGGCAGGACGTACAAATCAAGGTTAAATGGCGTTAAAATTAACATTAAAATATTTGAAAGTGTCACGGTGACCAACAAATAACGTTAAAATGTAAAAGACAAAAGGGGAGAAATCAGAAGTCACCTTTTCCATAGTGTGAATATGCTGTATGGTTGTTTGGATTATCTGAGGACCAAAAAATCTGAAAGATTTATGTTGTTTTGTGAAAGAGTAAATTTGTGGCAGATTAGGTTGTTAAATTTTCCATTTTAAAATGGCGAACATCATAAATTAATACTTCTTTATCTTCATTTCAGATTTGGCAACTTGTGTGGACCGGACGAAATACGTGGATGTAAATGGACTAGCAAAATAATAATGGCTCAATCTCATTTCTCATGCCAATCCTAGTGTCCAAGAGTTATTATATTCACATCTTTCATTTTCTCTTCCAATTATTTTATGATAATTTTGCATGATTAAGACGGGAATTTATTTAGGTCATACATATAAGGTTTTTTCATTTTTTCTTTTTTTTTTTTTTTTTGTATAAGGTAAGTGTATTATAACCAAAGTGTGAGAATACAGTACAATATCACAGGGACATACCTCTGGAAAACAAGGCTAGGATTATATGCCTTCCTAGCACCAACAACAGGAGCCTAGTTTTATAGCTTAGCCATGACAAGGAAAAATATCCATAGAAAAACCCCCCATAAACGTTGGAACCATCTATTTTCATTAGATGGAGCCAAGTCTCAACATAAATCTACTTGTGCACAAATAGTAAAAAACAATATTCTGAGTAACAACAGACTCATGTTTAGGAGCCTCACCATGGGTCCTAGCATTACACTCACACCAAATAACATAAATCGAAGCCGCAAACATCAAACGAATAACAGTAGAGTACAATGACCTCCCAGAAAACTGCTCCATCCAAGAAAGAGTATTTGGCAAACATCGCTGAAACCAATGCAAGTTACACTTCACGTGAAAAGCTTGCCAAACATGCTTAGAAAATTGGCAAGCAAAGAAAAGATGGTCTAAATCCTTCTCAGAACAACCACATAGCACACAACGCATAGATTGTATTAAGCAAAAGTGAAAAAGCTTTTTCTGTGCATAGAGGCCACCTTGAATTGCTAGATAAAGAATAAATGCATGATGGGGAATACATTTAGGGAACCATACAATGCGATACAAGGGCACCCTAGGGCAGCGAGGTCGAAGAGACTCCTAATCACTATGAGCAGAGAAGACTCCATGCACATCATCCACCCATCGCAAGACATCCTTTCTAGTACTATCTAGCCTAAGAGTATCAAGCGTGTCTCGCATGAAATCAGACAAAGCTAGGGAACGAGTCAAAGGCCACTTCCAAGTATCATCTTCAATAATGTCAGCCACCTTAGCTAATCTGCTCAATCTAGATTCAGGAATGATCCTCTCACCAAGAATCTTTTCTAAAGGGCCAAGAGAATGCCAATTATCAAACCAAAGTGAAGCACGCTTACCATTACCAATTTTGAATTTCATTTTGTCCCTCCCTATGTCCCTAAATCCAAGAATCTTTCTCCAAATCCAAGAGCAATTCCCAAGACATTTCAATTCCCAAATGCTCTGACCTTTAAGCAAGTAGCACCATGCCCACGAAACCCAAAGAGAGGAGGCAGAAGCCGTACAAACCAACCAAAGGTGCTTTAACATAGCAGCCTTATTCCAAATCTCCATATTCCATAGACCCAAACCTCCCTCCTCCTTAGGTATACAAATTTTTGCCCAAGCCATTTTAGTCCCACTGGTACCAAGGTCACAACCCTTCCATTAGAAGGCGCATAGAGTAGCTTCCACTTACTTGATCATAGCCTTAGGTAAAATAAATACAGAAGACCAATATATACGAATAGAAAATAACACCGACTTAATAAGTTGTAACCTACCCGCATAGAAGAGTGTGCGACAAGTCCAACTCTTAGCATTGGCTATTATACGATCCCCCAACACCTTACAATCCGAAGCCTGCAATTTGGTAGAGATAAGTGGAACACCAAGATAGCACACCGGTAGCACACCATCCTTATATCCCAAAATATTAAGTAACTAGTCCTTGAGATATGATGAGAAACCACCAGTAAATAGATTACTCTTATCCGGGTTAGGAAAAGAGCTTTTAATTGATCGACGTATTCCCCAATAAGAGATATAGAACCAACCTCATCTCTACAAAAGACCATAAGATCATCAGCAAAACACGAGTGGGTGATCTCCTCCTTCTCACACCTCCAGTGGTACTTAAAATCTTGCTCAATAGCCATCAACCCCATTAACCCTGAAAAAACCTCCATTGCCAAGACAAATAAACACGGTGACAAAGGATCTACTTGTCTCAAACCTCTTCCACCAGCAAAAAAAAACCCCTGCAACTCGCCATTAATGGAAATCGAAGATCGAGTGTTAGTGATACATTTAGAAATCCACATAACAACCTTCTCCGAAAATCGAAGCACCCTTAAAACCGTAAAAAGACAATCCCAAAGTACAGAATCATAGGCTTTCATGAGATCAACTTTAAGGGCACACCTAGACAATCCTCCACTACGATGTTAATTCCATAACAACTCTTGGGAAAGAAAGATATTATCGCTAATATGTCTTCCTTTAACAAAAGCAATTTGTTGAGATCCAACAATGTCTGAAAGTACCATCTTGACTCTATTGGAAATAAGCTTAGCAATACATTTATAAAAAGTATTGCAATAAAAGATAGGCCGAAAGTCTTTTACCTGAGAAGGATTTGGGACCTTAGGGACCAAAGCAATGGTAGTAGCATTAACTTGCTTCAATAGCTATCTGAGTCAAAAAAGGACTTGATGGCACATAGAACACCATTCCCCACAATACTCCAAGTCCTCTTGAAGAAGCCTGCATTAAAGCCATCTAGTCCCGGAGCTTTGTTATCTTTCAAAAAGAACAAAACCTCTTTAATCTCCTCATATGACACATCACTATTAAATGTTTCATTTTGCACCGTTGAGATACTTTGAGGAAAAGCTCTTTGAAGCAAGTCCATATCCAGACTCTCACCATTGGGCTACTATCCAAGGAGATTTTGATAGAATTCAACAATAACTTTACTAACCTCATGCGGCTCCTCTACTTTAGTAACATCATCTCTACAAATGGAGACCACCTTATTCTTGCGATAGTGACTTTTCATAGCCTTGAAGAAGATAGCAATATTTTGGTCTCCTAAATTCAGCCACTTAACACGAGCTTTTTGTCTTAAAAAATTTTCCTCAGCCCTATTCAACTTGCAAAATTCCTGTATTAACCGAGCCTCCTCCCTATGAAAAGATGGATCCAAAGGTGATTATTGAATCAAATACTGAGCATGCTCTAGATCAGATCGAACTTGAGTTACTCTCCTAGGTAGATTTGAAAATAGCTCCTTATTAAAATCTTTCAAGGCAAGCTTCAGCCTTCTCAATTTTGAAAACGGATAAAATATAAGAGTTCCATTGGAAATCTTTAGTAGAATATGGTTGAAGATTATACATTTGTCAACCTTAGTTCATCCTACGAATAAATTGAACAAAATTTATACGTGGGTCATACTTCATCGAAGAATAACTTAATTTTTATTTTTGTTACTTGTTTAATATATTGAACCAATAGTACATTAAAGAATGAAAAGTAATTTTGTAATGAATTGTACATATAACAGATATAATAACTAGATTGAGAAATAAATTGATAGCATCTCCAATGATAATGAGGATTGAATTAAATAAGCTAAAATATGCAATGTCTAAAAAAAGTTCCTCTCTTAAGGCATCTCCATTGCATTCCATGAATTGCAATCTAGGTGGCATCTAACTAAAAAGGCTTGTGGTCTATGGAATATTAATGTTTAGTGATGGATGGTGTAGTTCAAATCTCATCTCCAATGAGTTTCATCTATAATTTAAATTTTACTCCTAATATATCGTTAATAGAAAAAGAAAAATAATAATTGAAAGAAGAGAGAGAAAATAAGAAACATGATATATAGAGTAAGAGAGAAATGTTAAATTATGATGACTCACTCTATCTATAAGAATTTCTATATTTAGACATTTCTATTGACAATGTTCACTTTTTTCTTGTCAAATCAGCTATAGATAATCCTAGACATGATGAATTATATGCTTGAGCAGATTTTTCTCACTAGCGGCAGATAAAAAATTTCCCTTTTTCGAAATACTAAAGGAGGGCAAAGATTTGAATGTAACGAAGGATGCCAAGAGATCTCAATGAAGCTTAAGGACCATTTATCATCCCTTTTATTTTGCTTCAAACCCTTGCTGGGAAAAAATCACCGAAATGCACAACGAACACAAAGAATCCCTAGATTCGGCATTTGACATACAAATGACATATTTATATCGAAATAAACGTTTGAATTATTTCCATTGCATGTAACATCTTTCAACTCCAAGCAACGCCGAAGGAGAATTGAAAAAATACTATTAGTGAACGATGTCACAATTGATTCAATCTATTTTTCATCGTTTGAGTAAAAAAAAAAAAATTTATTTTCGTTTCTAAAATGTACAAATGTTTGAGTAAAGTGTACGAATACGGGTAAAAAAATATGAGAGATCTTAATGATTATGGTAAATTACAAAACGACTTTATATTCTAAATATCGAGCATTCTATAATGAGTATAGAAGTTAAGAGGCGTATATCTGAATAATACCTAAATCTGGTATTGCAGACTTGGTCATATAGATGAAATACAATTCCAGAATTACATAGAGATATATACGTGGAGTCAATTGATTTTGAATCATTTCACAACTGTGAATCTTATCCATTAGACATAATGACCAAATCTCATTTTACTTGAAAGGGAGAAATGCTACTGGTCTAATACATAGTGATGTATGTAGATCCATTTCAATTAATGCTAGATAAGATTTCTCTTATTGCATCACATTTATTGATGACTATTTCGAAAATGGGCCATGTATATTTGATAAAATTCATGCATGAACCTCTTGAAAGGTTCAAGGGATTCCAACTAAAAGTAGAAAAACAAATAGGTAAAGATATCCTCACACTAGGATCTGATCGAGATGGAAATATCTTAAAGATGAAATTCTAGATTATCTAAGAGAGAATGAGATTCTCCTACAGTGGGCTCCTCCGTATACACTGCAGCATAGTGATGTATCTGAAAAAAGAAATCGTAAACTATTAAATATAGTGTGATTAATGACAAGTCATGGAAATCTTCCAAAATCATTTTGGGGTCATGCACTGATTGCAGTGTGCTGCACACTAAATTATGTCTCATCTAAGTTGGTTAATAGAACATCATACGAGCTATAGAAAGGTAATAGTCCCAATTCATCTCATATGAAAGTTTGGGACTATGAAGCTCATTTAAAACGCCTTGAATTAGATAAGTTTGAGACTAAATCCAATCAATACATATTTGTGAAATATCCAAAATAGATATTTGGATATGAATTCTATTATCCCATTAAGAAGAAAGTCTTCGCTAATGACATAACGTCTTCTTAAAAAAAGTTTACTTTGTGAGAAGATAGTAGGAGCAAAATAGAACTTGAAATAGTTCAAGAGTCCACAAATATAGTTGACCAAGTAAATTAATCTAAGTTTCATCTCACACCTGATGAGGGACATGCTCTTGATCAGAAAGTAGAGACTCCTGAAGACATGATGACTCTATTTAAATCTAGTGCGATCATTCGACCTTCAAGAAGGTAGGAATCCATGATTACTAATCAGGTATTATTAATCGAAGATGATGAGCCTACTAATTACGCAGAAGCAAAGTCAAGTGTTGACTCAAATAGATGTCAGAAGGTCATGAAATCCGAAATGAACTCACCGTATGAAAATAAGGTTTAAACCTCAATGTTATAAATGGTCTTCAAGGAAATTGTCGATATGGATGGGAATATCCATACATACAGAGTAAGGCTAGCAGCAAAAGGTTAAGTGTTGACCTTGATGAAACCTTTCGTCTTTAGACATGTTGAAGTCCATTCGAATTTTGGTTGCAATAGTTACATATCGTGACTATGGGTTAAAGCAAGCTTCTTGGAGCTAAAATCATCGATTGATGGAAAAAATCAAAAGGCTTGATTTCATCAAAAATGAAGAGAAATTGTATGTTTACAAGAAGGTGGGAGTATTGTCGCATTTCTAATATTATATGTAAGAAATATTATTAATGAGAAACGACATCCTTACGTTCAATAGTTGAAATTGTGGTTGTTAAAGGATTTTTTCATGAAAGATCTGAGAGAAGCAACTTGATCTATAGAAATAGATATAGAAGATTGCTTAACTCATCACAATTTGCATAGACAAAATCTTGAGAAGATTTTATATGAAGAAATTGATTTACGCTTAAATGGTGTGTTGGAAAGGTTTCAAATGTGAAACAACTGTCGATCCAATAGCAGAAACATAATACATGATTGCTTTAGAAGCAGCAAAGAGTTGCAGTGTATATCAAGATGTTCATTAATGAACTTGAAATAGTTCATAACATTGTTGATCACATGCAATTGTATTGTGATAATAATAGAGTCATCACACAAGTAAAAGAACTAAAGTCTAATCAATGATCCAAACATGATTTAGGGTCGTATCATCTCATCAGATAGATAATACAAAGAAATGACGTAAAGAAAGAAACGAATTTCCACAATTGACAATATTGCAGATCCACTGACAAAAAGTTATCGCAGCATAAACATAATCGTCATGTAGACTCTTATGATATTGGATACATAAGTAATTGGATCTAGTGCAAATGGAAGTTTGTAATTGATGCAATTTTATGACAGATTTATTATTTAATTAATATTCAATTAAATTAAATAATTGAATCCATAGATTTAAATCTTAATAATTTGTTAATCACTTGGAGTTGTGATTGTCAAATACAAATTACATATGATTGAATCTTAAATCTTCCGTGGTTGTAAGTAATAACGAGATATGAATATCGTTATTACGGATAGACTATCACGTGTAGCATTTCTTACTTGTGAAGTAGCTGATATCGCAGGCTAAAGTGTGGTGACACTTAAATGAACACGTGAATGCTTTGTTATAGAACAAAATATTGGAGACCCGCTGAGAAATTCCACATGGATACTATCTGAGTGTCAGTAGTTAATCTCTAACGTTCAGTGGTGAAATTTGTCCTTTAACTTGAGGTCATCATGGTGCCTTATATGAAAACAGTCATATTTTGGCGATGCTGGACGTTGTTCTATCAAGGGCCACTAATACGGCGTCGTTCGGGTATGTCAAGAATCATATGGAGGTTGTGAATGACCAATAGAGGATTCTTCACTCTTAGATAGTAAGAGATTATGATCTACATTTCATTCAATTAAGTCGATAATGAAATTCTGGGCCAAGATATACTCATAAGTCGAAAAGGAGTTTTCGAATTATATTGACTTAGTAGTGGAATGAAAGATATGATTGATAATTGAGATTGACACTTATCCATATCTCGTAATTGATTAGATCATATTAACGAAGAGATTAGAGTTTCACAATAAACGAATGAGTTTGATTTTGTCATAGCATGTGACATTTTTCGTCACATGTATTTCCTTGACACATTGCTAGATATTAATCTGGGATGACGAACGTGAATTGGTGATAAATTAAAAGCCTATTTTAATTTATTGATTTTGATTAGATCAAAATAATAATTCACATTGTTAGGTATCGTGATCGAAAAATTGATGTGTAGCACACAAAAGGAGAACATGAAGATTATGATTTGTCAATTAATTAATTTAACAAGCATTGGATAACTTAATTAATTAGGTTGCTTATTTATAGACCAGAATTAATTAATTGGATTAATTAATTCATGGATCGAATTTAATTAAATGGGCTGATTAAATATTAGATTGGGTCAAGCAAAGCCCGTTTGGGATTATACAAATAAGTGATTAGGGTTTTCAATTTGTAGGGATTTTTCATTCTTTCTAACACAAGAGGAGAAAACCTTGGATCCTATAATCTTGTTCTCTGTGTAGATTTTCATTAAAGGCTAGACAATTGGACAACTGTGGGTGGCGAATCAAGATCGTTGAAACGAAAGAACAACAAAAGAGTTTGTAGATCTTGTAAAATGTACAATTTCTATCACAATTTCTATCTAAACACAAAGCAGATCATTGGTAGGAATTGAAATTTATTTTATTTTTCTCTGTGTATGATAAGTAGATTTCCAACACACATCCCAATAAAAGCACATTAAAAAATTATGAAACTCTAATCTTCATCTGTTGTAGAAATATCATTTTTCTATTCATGAAACAATGTGATTTCTTTCTTGTATATAAATCCAAAGCTTAAATAATTTCGTCCACTCCATATGAGAACTAAAAAATTATTATTATCAAATAAAATATCTAAAATGTTAGGAAACATTAATTTAAATCATTGTAGTTGATACTACACATGGAAAAGATGAATGAGTCATTGACCCGCATAAACCATGCAATGGCATATCTTCTCCATGAGGGATCGATCGACCTCCTTTCCAATATCTAATTGACCAAGATTCGGGAGTGGACAAAGTTTGTGATGATTTACACTCATTAAACATCTGGATGATTGTAGTTGATACTATACATGGAAAAGATGAATGAATCATTGACCCGAATAAACCATGCAACGGCTGATCTCCATGGGGGGTCGATCGAACCACCGTTCTAATATATTGTCAACCAAGATTCGGGAGTGGACAAAGTTTGAAATGATTCACACTCATTCAACATCTTGATGATAGCTACACTATTCACCAAAATCGCATATTACATGGAAGAAATTGCCGAGACACGGATGGAAATTGACTGCCTATAATAGCCTCAAAGGATGTCACGTCTAACTTAATGCCTTCTGCCATACGTCACAAACACATACTTCCCTTTACCTAGCCTTGATTTATCCCTTCTCTCCACACACTCACTCTCTTGCCGAAGGTAAAATGTAAGTCCCAATCTCATTTTATAGGTAATTAGGTGATGAAAGTGAACGACAACACCTAATTCTGCTAAGGAAGACGAAGAGTCATGACAGAATACTTAATCTGTGCTGTCTACCAGAATTGGACATAAAAGCTACGATAGGTCAGAAAACTAGAAGCAAAACACGTATGACAGCATGCATAGTGAAGCCAAATTTTTTTGCTAGAGATTGTTATGTTTTTTCTATCGCAAGTTCATGATATCGAAACAAGTAATATAGTAGACTTATGAGTTCAAATTATCATTTTTCATAAGGGCTATAATTTAATTCCTAATTTATTATTTCTAATTTTTAGTTGACGAAAATTAAGAATATATATATTAGAAACTTCATAATAAGTGTTCATCAATGTCTTAGTAATTGGAAAATTAGCCTAATATTACAAAATTACAAGATATCATAATTAATTTGTAAAACATCGCCCGGATTTTGATTAATTGAAGAAGAAGATGATGGATCATGAAATTTTGAATCTTTTCAATGATTTCTTGATGAATTCCAGTTGCGTCTTTCTTTCATTTCCCAAAAATTAAGCTTTGATATCTAATTGACGAATATCTTGCAATTGCCTCTTGATTTGCCCAAAGTATTTTGATTTTGGCATCTATTTCGTGTGATAAATTATGAATTTAGGAGCGTGATAGGTTCCCTTAATGATATGCCCATATTCAATATTTATAGAGGTTGAAAAAAATCGTGCAAAAATTAGTTTCGAAATAGAGTTTGAAGCAAAATAGGTAAATTGTCCCAATGTCCCAAATTTGGTCCACTCGCA